GGATTGCCCAACCTTCCTTCCGAGGAGTGGCTGGTGGGTTTGAACTGCCAGCCTTCTGGTTAGCAGTCAAGTGCCTTAGACACAATGCTACCAGAGTGAGCTGAAATGGACCAGTTCGGTCCATTTTGAATCAACCATATGATCTACTATGCTGGGAATGACAATTTGAAGAGGAATGGCATGGCATTCATCATCACAAAGGATATTTCAAGATCTGTCCTGAAGTACACTGCTGTCAGTGATAGGATAATATCCATATGTCTGCAAGGAGGACCAGTTAATACAACTGTTATTCAAATTTATGCACCAACCACCAAAGCCAAAGATAAGGAAATTAAAGATTTTTTTTTATCAACTTCTGCAGTCTGAAATCGACCGAACATGCAATCAAGATGTGTTAATTATAACTGGTGACTGGAATGCAAAAGTTGGAAACAAAGAAGAGTTACCGGTAGTTGGAAAATTTGGCCTTGGTGACAGAAATAACGCTGGAGATCGCATGGTAGAGTTTTGAAAGACCAATGAGTTACTCATTGCAAATACATTTTCAACAACACAAACGGCGACTGTACACTTGGACTTCACCAGATGGAACACACAGGAATCAGATCCACTATATCTGTGGCAAGAAGCAATGGAAAAGCTCATTATCTTTAGCCCAAACCAGGCCAGGAGCTGATTGTGGAACAGAACATCAACTGCTCATATGCAAGTTCAGCTTGAAGTTAAAGACAATTAAAACAAGTCCACGAAAGCCAAAATATGATCATGAATTTATCCCTCCTGAATTTGGAGACCATCTAGATAATAGATTTGATGCATTGAACACCAGTGACCGAAAACCAGGTGAGTTGTGGGATGACATCAAGAACATCATCCATGAAGAAAGCAAGAGGTCATTAACAAGACGAGAAAAAAAGAAAAGACTAAAATGGATGATAGGAGAGGCTCTGAAGCTTGCTCCTGAGCAGAGAGTAGCCAAAGCAAATGCAAGAAATGACAAGATGTGATGGTTATGTTTGTGTGTCAGCTTGGCTGGGCCTGGTTGAGTGGCTGGGCAGCTGGATGTAGTATTCCCCGTGATGAGACTGGTAATCAACTCCATGGTGGAATCTACTGGGAGCAGCTGAGTAGCTGTCTTTGGGTATGTGGTTTGCTTCCTGTATATAAGGAGCTGCTTTGAGAATGGTCTCTAGCTTATGGCACGCTTGGACACTGCATGTAGCCGTGTGGTTGCTCAGCAGCCTGCTGTGCTCTGCCAACCTTGGGACATAAAATAGACTTGAGTTAATGGCCTGCCGTGTTGTTTGGTAACATCGGGACTGTGCCTTTTTACTTGTCAACCTTGGAGCTTCTCAGCCTCAGCATCCTGCAGTTGTCTGAGTGAAGAAATGCCTTTAGCTCCAGTGGGCCGGGAGCAGGAGGCAGAGCTGGACCTCAAGGTTGAGGGGCTCTCACCCAGCCCCTAGAGCCTGGCACTTTGAACTTGGCCTTAAAGCCTCCAAATTGTAAGAGTAAACTCCTGTTTGTTAAGGCCATCCCATTTGTAGTATATTTTCTCATCAGAGCAGTACTAGGTAACCAGAACACAAGATAAAAGAGCTGAACCAAAGATTTCAAAGAGCGTTTGAGCAGACAAAGCCAGTTACTATAATGAAATGTGCAAAGACCTGGAGTTAGAAAATGGAAAGAGAAGATACGCTTGGCATTTCTCAAGCTGAAAGAACTGAGGAAAAAAATGTAAGCCTCAAGTTGCAATATTGAAAGATTCTGTGGGCAAAATACTGCATGATACGGGAAGCATCAAAAGATGATGGAAGGAACACACAGAGTCACTC